TCCTCTAATTGTTCTCGTTGAGTTGCAGATATTGTAACAATGTTATAAAATTCTTCTTATATCTTCGCGATTTCATATTTCAGCTCCTCAATTTTGCCGTAAACGCAGAAACTCCGCGATCTACCGACGACGAAACTGAACCTAGAAATCTGATATTCAAAATGGCGGCTACGACAAACGATACATGGCAGCTTAGAAGGCGATTTATATCCTTTTCTTGACATAGATCTTTAGTTACGACGATTGCTCTCGATGAAATAGATCTGCGGCTAACGTCGATTAATTATTTTTATTTATTTGTCCATAAATAGGAAAAGACATTTTTTTAAATTTTCGTTATAGGCTCAGATAAAAAAATTTTAAAACGAGGGCTTTTAATTTTTTCTTTTCACTCTAAGTAATGGCAAAATTAAAAAGAAAAGAACTAGAGAAAAGAAAAATAGACTAGTCCCTCAATCATCTAAAAAAAATTCAAGTCATATAGTTCAGTTTTGAAAGAATTGTTGCGTTTTAAAAGGCGTATGAACACTTTTGCGGGCCACTGTACATGAAGTAATCGAAGCGATGACCGGAACCTCCTCCTAATTTCGCAGATAACGCAACGGCGCGCATAATTTCAGCAGAAAGTGATCGATTCGCCGGGGAACAACCGAAAAGAGAACGCATTTCCTGCGATATAGAATACCTACAGCGCACATAAACCGTGTAACGTAGTTTCTTCACTCGTGTCTCGATTATCCGGCGAGTCTCGATCTATCCGCGCCATTCGTCTCCCCATTAAGCCGGATAATCGGGATCCTTATTGCGAGCGGAACTCGATTTCCACGTCGCTCGCGGCCGGAGGATTAATATTAGCTCGCGCAATAAATTCGTTCGCTGTTTCTTTACACGAAACTTAACTGCCTCTAACTTCCTACAAGTCTCACTTAATCAACGACGCATGTACCACTTTGTACGACCCTCTGCCACCTTTTTGCCGGCTTAAATATCACTTCGCTATGCCAAGTGCTCAATTTTCTCTATTCAAGCAGCTCGAACCGTCGCTCGTTCATTCTTTCGCGCGTTTTTACGAACGATCTGCCATTAAAACAATTTCGCTCGGTTAAAAACGCATAAAAATGATCTACGTTGTGGTACGATCAACGTGACCGACGACGAGAATTAGATCGCGTGAGTGCGATATTTGTCGCACATTCGTATAGAACGTTGCTCCGGTTTCTTGAGATAACGAGCTAGTATTATGTGTTTTACGTCTCCGAAGGGGACATTAAAAAATTGAGAAAAAGTGAAACTTGTTCGTCGAAGATCTGTGTAGAAAATGAGCGTAATTGCATGTCGAAATTTTTTAAACTAACATTACAACGAGCGTTAAAACATTAACTCTACATGGTAGAAGAATATCTACTCATCGCTCATAACCAAAAACAATACATCTTCGATAATTGTTTACAGATTTTTAAATTTAAAAAAAATACGTCTATATACTATGAAGCATTTCCTACAAAATGAGCCAAGTTACAAGTCACAGTCATTAAAACTAATGTCGTAATGACCGTTCAAATATTTGCTGTTCATGTTTGAAGCATTTGAATTCATCGCTCTAATCTAACAATATAACGCCTTTTCGATAATTGTTTACAGATTTAACAATTTTTTTTAAATATTTCCATATACTTCAAAGTATTGCCTATAAAATGATTCTAGTTACAGGTCACAGTCATTAAAACTAACGTTGTAATGAGCGTTCAAGTATTCGCTGTTTATGTTAGAAGCATTTCAACTCATCGCTTTACAGATTTAAAAAATTTTTAAAAATATTTCCATATACTTCAAATTATTGCCTATAAAATGATCCTAGTTACAGGTCATTCAAACTAACGTTGTAATGAGCGTTCAAGTATTCGTTGTTTATGTTAGAAGCATTTCAACTCATCGCTCTAGTCTAACAATATAACACTTTTTCGATAATTGTTTACAGATTTAAAAAATTTTCAAAAATATTTCCATATACTTCAAATTATTGCCTATAAAATGATCCTAGTTACAGGTCATTCAAACTAACGTTGTAATGAGCGTTCAAGTATTCGTTGTTTATGTTAGAAGCATTTCAACTCATCGCTCTAGTCTAACAATATAACACTTTTTCGATAATTGTTTACAGATTTAAAAAATTTTCAAAAATATTTCCATATACTTCAAATTATTGCCTATAAAATGATCCTAGTTACAGGTCATTCAAACTAACGTTGTAATGAGCGTTCAAGTATTCGTTGTTTGTGTTAAAAGCATTTCAACTCATCGCTCTAGTCTAACAATATAACACTTCTTCGATAATTGTTTACAGATTTTTAAAATTTTCAAAAATATTTCCATATACTTCGAAGTATTGCTCACAAACTGATCCCAATTACGAGACAGTGTCATTAAAACTAACGTCGTAACGAGCGTCCAAATATTCACTGTTCATACTAGAAGAATGTCAACTCATCGCTCTACCCTAAAAATATAACACCTTTTCAATAATTGTTTACAGATATAAAAATTTGTAAAAGTTATGCGTATATTGCCCGAAGTCTTGGCTACAAAATGGGCCTAGTCTCGCATCGAAATCTTTAAAACGAACGTCGCAAAGTGTGTCCGAACGTTCGGACCTCCCAGTAGAAACGTGTCAGGCGATTAGACTGGACGATAAACGCCTTCTCGATTATTGTTTACAATCATGTTAAATTATCCGTTGCCGCGCAGAATCTTTTGGGACAGAACCGCGAGCCTATTCCGCGAGTACACAGCTCCCAAGATTGCTTGTCCATCTCTCTGGACAGGTTTGCGCAGCCTTCGGGCAGCCAATGCCCTCGAACATTTAGCTATAATTTCTATGATAATCTGCGCTATTATCGGGGCTCGTTCCGCGTCTTTTTGTTCGTGGCTTGTGTGTTACTCGCGTGATGGGCTATCTCTACATCTACGGCCCGCCAAAAACAACGAGAGCCGTAAGAAAAGGAAAAACAGGAAAGGGGAAGGAAAAGGATCGGGCGAGTTTTCACCGGAGGGACGGCCGACTTACCTCGATTATGCCCTGCGACTTGTCACTCGGCTTGTCAATTTTCCCGATCTGGAACAGAAATAAAACGACTGTCAACGATCGTTCGCCGGGACGAGTCGGCGCGGCGGGACGCTTTTCACGAGCATCCTGCGATTACGGTGTCGAATAAATTGCCGGTCTTCCTTTTGCCTGCCGATAATTAATGGAGGTGTGGCGACGTTTGAATACTTCGCTGGTAAATTTCAATATTCCGATAAGACAGAAGTGCCTACTACGAGGGACAAAGACAAGGCGCACCGCATTTTTTCGTACACGCTTCGAGAGTGTATTCCACGAGTGAAAATCGAACTAAAGTGTTATATGAAAGAAAGAAAAAACGTTCGTAAATGCTTCGTTGAGAAAGTTATGCCGAAAATAAGAAATGTGAGAGATATGGATAACGCTAAGGTGCAGGATACGAATTAATTGCAAAAATCAACGTCGCCTGCGAAAAGATTAGATAAAAACAAAACCAACTGCGGAAAATTTATGCAGAAAGAATTTTAATGTATCATTAATCTTTGCTTTCGTTCTTTTACATTTGTTAATGAGAAACGTATGTACCTCAGACTATATGACATTAACATTATAAATGTAACCTAAATAATAAATTGACATCTTTTCATTTGTCACGTGTTTTTATATCCCCAGCATTTCTTGCCGCAAACGTTTTTTCCCTTAAAGCTTTCTCCTGTTTTAATATTTGTTGCTCTCCTTTTTCTGTTTTAATCAGAAACGGATTTAGATTTTTTCCGCCCTAAGGTAATATATTTTTGCTGTCCTGGAATGATGAAAAGATGAAAAAAGAGGAGAAATGATCGTAAACGTTTGAAATATTAGATTTAGCATTTTGATGGAAACGTGTATGAAAATGTATTATTTATTATTTAAACATTCTTGCGCCCTGACAAGATGTCGTTCTCCACCAAACAATTAGACCAGTTGAAATTTGATATAATATATAAGAAATAATTAATATTTCTCGTTCAATTCGTAACAATCAGTTGTGTAATACTGTTTAATTATTTTTCACTGTGTATAAAAAAATTTGAAGCGAAATTTTCCTGAAAAACCGTCGCCTCCTAAAAAATGCCCCCGTAGACTACAGCATATTTAATCTATACCTAAATTCGCCTCTGGTTTTAATATTCCACCAGTTGTCATATAAACACATATATAAAACACATACATATACACTCGACAGCAAAATTAAAGCATCAGTAATTTTTGACCGAAAAATTGTGAATCTTCGAACAATTGTAACTTCGTTAAAAACAATAGTAAAATCATGATTTATCTAAAAATTGAAGAGCTTGAAGTTTCAACTTGATGATACCCCATATTTTAGTCTTTAGTATCATGCGGAGCCATGACTGCTGTAACCTAGATCTGAGGTCATGTTCGTGATACCGAAAAAGGGTAAGATTTAACGCCCTCTATGGAGTTTCAAAAATTGTTTTCGAGTATACCGTCACAGCATCGTAAAGTTCGGACTTCCTACCGCTACAATTCTTTCTCTCTAAGTCCATTGATGCCTACAGTAGTATTGTAATAATACAATAATCACGTAGTAATACAGTTGTTATTTAGTTACCTATCTATACAACAGTAATCTAGTAATATTGCAAAAGAGAATTACAGTAATTTAATGGTATAGTAATAAAATAATATATTGGGTTGGCAACTAAGTAATTGCCGATTTGTTCAATGAAATAAAACATTTTTTTACTTGGAATGAAGTTTAATCTGTAATGTATTTTCCATTTTGTTCGATGACCTTTTGCAATCTCTCTGACAACTTGAAAATTCCACGCTCGTAGAAAGTCTGATCCTTTTCGGCCAAAAACTGAGTTAAGTGAGATTTTACAGCGTCATCATCATTAAAAGTTTTACCACGAAGGGAGTTGTCCAGGGATCGAAATAAGTGGCAATCCGATGGCGCGAGATCAGGGCTATATGGTGGGTGTAACATCAATTCCCAAGCAATATCCATCAATTTTTGCCGAGTGGACAAAGACGTGTGCGGCCTAGCATTGTCCTGCTGGAAAATGACACCTTTACGATTGACCAATTCTGGTCGCTTTTCCTTGACCGCTGCATTCAATTTGTCCAATTGCTAACATTCACGGATTATAAAAAATAACATAATAATAATAATAATAATAATAATTTTATAATATAACATTTACGGATATCATAAAAATGGGAGCGAGAGACATCTATAACTGAAATCGGCAATTACTTAGTTGCCAACCCAATAGTAATAGGGTGGTATAGTAATATGTAGAATAACACAGTAGTACAGTAATACAAAAGTCATACAGTAATACCGCAGTAATCTAGTAATTTTTGAATATAATAACGTAGTAATCCATTAACTTTGTAATTTGGGAATGTAGTGATCTAATAATCAGGTGATCTATTATATTAATCTGGTAATCTAGTAGTTCAGTAATATAGTTGTTACGAGCCGAGGGCCAGGCAGCTTTGCGTGGCCGGAGGTTTGATGCGATTGGGATTTTTCTATAAGGGAAATTGCGTGGACCAGCCGATGCTTCTTTCAGCACGGGTTGCCACCCAGTAATTAGGATAGGATTCGTGGAAATTGAAGTTTGGATGGCCCGTAACTTTCACAAGAAGAAATGAAGATATGCCACGTGCGGTAAAGGTATATCTTCGTGGGTTTGTACCAACCGCTGCTTCGAATCAGGAAATGGAATAATTGAATTTTACAACCAAGGTAAACTGGTAAAAGATAGTATATTACAAGTTTTGGTTAAATACAATTGTATATGTACACCTGGTAACGAGTACGTACTCGGTTGATGTGCTCGAAAGAGGATTAAACTCGATCTTGCTAACGTTTCTTCGTCGGTGGTTGACTCGAAACTAGCCCGCTTTCTGGTCGCGTTTGGGACCATTATATACCAAAATTTTCTTGAAAAATGGTAGTGGGGGTGTTCGTATTCCAGAACGTTCGTCCTCGTACCCCTTTGAAGATACTTGACTAGCAATATACAAACGAACTCCTGGCTGGCTGGCACCAGCCTGGCGAATGAAAAACACGTCGGAAAATTCTCCGTACGTTACGAAGTAATCTACTGTTTAGTAATATAGTGGTATAGTATTCTAGTAATCTAATAATAATAATATCTAATAATTCTAGCAATCTAATAATCTAGTAATCTATTGAGCTAGTGATTTAGTAATCTAGGGCTCTAGGATTCTAGAAAATCTAGTAACTTAGTAATTTAGTAATCTACTAATGTAGTAATCTAGTGACCTAGAAATTGCGTGATCCAGTAATTTAGGAATCTAGAAGATCTAGTGGTCCAGTAATTTTTTAGTAATCTACTAATCTAGAAATCTAGTAATCTAATGATATAGCAATTTAGTAATATAGTAATCTAGTAATTTAGCAATCTAGTAATGCAGAGTTTAAGTGATCTAGTGATCTAGTGATCTAGTAATATAAATGGTCTAGTGATATAGCAATCAAGTAATATAGTAATATAGTAGCCTAGTATTCTCTTTATTTAATAATATAGCAACCTAATAATATAGTAATCTAGTAATCGAGTAATATAGCAACCTAATAATATAGTAATCTAGTAATCGAGTAATCGAGTAATCGAGTAATCTAGCAATCTTGCAATCTAGTGATCTAGTAATCCAGTAATTTAGTGATCTAGTGATCTGGTAATCTAGTAATCTGGTAATCTAGTAATCTAAGAATCTAAGAATCTGGTAATCTGGTAATCCAGTAGTCCAGTAATATAGCAATGTGGTGTCTAGTAATCTAGTAATCTAGTAATCTAGTAATCTAGTAATCTAGGAACCTAGAAATCTAGAAATCTAGAGATCTAGTAATCTAGTAATCTAGTAATCTAAGACTCTAGTAATCTAGAAATCTAGTAATCTAGTGATTTAGTGGTTCAGTGATTTAGGAATCTAGTGATCCAGGAATCTCGGAATCCAGGAATTTAGAAACCTAGTAATCTAATGGTCTAGTGATCCAGGAATCTAGGAATCTAGGAACCTAGAAAATCCAGAAAAATGTTAGCAATTTAGTAATCTACTAATCTGATGATCTAGTAATCCAGTAATCTAAGATCCTAATAATCTAGTAATCCAGTAATCCAATAACATATTAACAAATGCAAAATTATAAACTGCTCTAATCATGTCGATATGCCACCACTCGTCTTGACAACGATAAGAGTCCAAAGCAAACTCCAACTGCACGACGCAAAGACCACCTCCTCACGGTAACCGAGTGTCAAGAAAACTTTTCCAGACAGCCGTTCAAAGTGCCAGAAAGTGCGCGAGTACAATGTCCAGCAAATGGAAATTGAGTAACTCGTAAAGCGTCCTGTCTTTTGATCGTCGACCATTGTAGATCGATCCGCGAGCGGTTTCTAGATCCCCAACAGCTGCGCCATACATGATCCACAGCTTGGAAGTACCGACAGTGTGGGAGCATAAACTCCTAGCAATCATACGTGCGCGCCCACGCCGTCTTCGGGCTGACCACTAGAGCAGCCGGTGTCCATAATGCGTTCTGTTCCCTTCGGCTTCCACGTTCTTTCCGAGCGGTCGCACATTCTGTTCTGCTTCCTTCCCTCCCCCGCTGTAGTTTATTATAGCGTGAGCGTCTATGTATCGGCGATTTTAATCGGCCAGCATCGGGCATTACGATCCAGATAGGTTTGCCACTATCAGTGTACAAACTAATTTCATCGCGAACCCCTTGTTAACTGTGCTGCCCCGACAGTGGCCCATTAGACAGATGAAACATTGTGTTAGGCGGAGAATATCGTAACACGAACGATGCGATTAATAAAAATAACCGAGATCATCGACACGGTCATGGTCTGATAGAATGGTGTGAATAATCATAGACTCAAAGTAACTTTTACATTTGATTGTGACATTTAAGTAAAAACTTAACAAAAAGCGATATTTGTATATTTCTAGATTACAATTAATAGAAAATGAAAATATGTAAATATTATTTTCCTTTTGGTTCT